TTTGAGATAGACACTACATATGCACATATTTTTGTGGAAAATAAAAAATAAAGCAACATACAAAATTTTGAAAAACTGAATTTTTACTTTTTTTTTAATTTAACACCCTGTATCTCTATTTATCTGTCACAAAAAATCCACCATCAAACGATTCGATATATTATCTACAACCGTGTCGAAAGTGACAGTTTTTTTATACAGGGTGTCCCAAAAAGACCCGAACATTCCGATGACTTTTCAGGATGGGTCCTATCAAAAAAGTTTCAAATAAAATCCGTAGGATGTCAAGAAACCAATGATCTTGGATTTAACTTTGACCTTGAGCTTCAAGGTCAAATCAAGGTCAGCTTGAAAATATTAACCTGGAACGTTGTTGTCAAGATCGTAACAATAGTTTTAATTGAATACGTTTAGTAAATTCTATTACTTTTAAATCCACTATTTCTTTTGAAAACTGAGTTTGACCTTCAAATAACCTTATTTGATCTCAGAGTCCGACATAAAATTTGACACTGTCTGTTGATGTCATAAAAATAACGTATTCCATTTGATATTATGTTGATCTTAATTTGACCCTGCAACTTGTAGCGAAGGTCAAGTTCAAGGTTATCATCTAAATATTCATTCAAAGCACTACAAATTTTAGCTGGAAACCATTTTATCGGAATATTCATAGAAAAATTAGTTTGGCCTCTGACCTTCAAAAATATACAGGAAAAAATGTTCCCATATTCAGAAAATTTGATCTCTATCGATTATTTGTCATAAAAAACAGGGTATTTCAGTTAATATTTTTAAGTCGACCTTGGTTTGACCTTGAAACTTAGGGTCACTGTCAATAACAAAATTACGAAGTTCCTGGGTTTTTGGGATTCCAGCTATCAATATACCTATTACCAATATATACAGCGTATTAATAATAAATTTTGCCAAACTTTAATGGCGTATTCTAGCGATGAAAATAATCAACGTTTGCCCTATAAAAATTTTTGATAGGACGCTTCCCTACGGAGATACAGGCTGTTAAAAGTTTCAAATATTTATATGATTTTTCCTGTAACCTCACTGCAAAAAATATTTAGTGATAAAATTTGGAGGATGAAATTTTTTTTAGTAGGGACTATTTTATATAAATATACTCCGGTGGCGTAGTTATTGGGGCAGTAGGGGACTTTATGTGAAAAAAAGATTGTACGCCACTGGTTTTTTGAATAATTTTAAACGTTTTTAAAATGTACAATCAATTTGTGGCAATAAAGTATTCTTGTATAGTATTCGTAAAATTTACTAGTCTTTACATAACTGGGAAATCAAATAATTGCACAATATAAGTACTGTAAGTTAAAAATGTTTAAATTTATTACCGATGTTGCAAAATAGCAATAATTGGTGAAAAAAGTCAAAATAATCTAATTTTCTAATTTCTGTAAAAAATTTTTTAGAAAAAAGCGATTTCGAGTTATAAATTTTATGAATAAATAAATAAACAGAAATATTTGATGAACATTTTATTAATTATTATGAATGAACATTTATAGTAATTGTACAGTTATTACATTGAATAACATTTATAAAATCTGGGTAATTATTGTGCGTTTACTGATGTGTCACATTTTTCTCAAAATGATTTGACCGCTCAATTTCAGTCGCCGGAGGCTCAATATGTCTGACTGATCCATTAAAACAGCATGATGCGACGTACTATGACAACCTGGAGTTGAAGTGTCATTGTAAAGAATCCTGTTGGCCATTTCATTTTTAGAATCTGGAATTGCAACTACAATAATGTCATCTAAATTTTTGAAATTGACTGTGGGAGAAGATAAAATGTTATACACCACGTAGCAGTTAAGTATAATTTATCAGTCTCGGACTCTATTGCCAGCCCTCGCTCCGCTCGGGCGCAAAATCGTCCTCGACTGGTAAATAATACTTACCTCCTTTTTGGTGTAAATAATAACTATTACATCCTACACTTGTTTCTATAACTATTGTGTAATTTCATGACTGTTTTTTTTTTTTTTTCATTTTTCTCGGACAATTGGCCAGAACTGGCCAAATAAATAATAAAAAATTAAAACAGAAAAGAAATCTTAATTTAATATCACTATATGAATAAATTATATAAATTAAAATTATAATTAAATTAAAAAATAAATTAAGTTATAAAGTTGCTGAATAATATATCTCAACATTATTTTTTAATGATTACTGTCATAGGGGGTGGTTTTTAGGGATTGACAATTTTCAATTCGCAAAAAAAAGTAAGCAAAGTATAAGCTAATTAAAATTAAAAAAAAATGTAATCACATTAAAAATGTCTAAAAGTGAGACGGGCAGGCGCGGTTAATGTATAGCAAAATAACCCTATTGTTTGCTAAATATATATTTTTTATATTTATATTTAAATTTGTTAATATTAAAAACTTTAAATTGATTAGGTATCGAATTGTAAATGGTAACTGCATTATATATGAAACTTCTCATAAACATAGCTGTACGATGATGTGGAAGGGTAAAAGTATTTTTAAATCTAATATCTCTTTGGTGGATATTGGAACGTTTTTTAAATTTGTTTTTGAGCAAAACTGATGAATTGGGAATATCAATATTTTATGAGCAAATGTAGTAAGATGATGAGCTCTCCGATTATTCATATTAAGCCAGTTACATTCCTTAATTTTGTGAGAAATATGATCAGACTTTCTTAATCCAAATATGGAACGACAACATGAATTCTGAACTTTTTGAATACGATTTTTATCAAATTCGTCAAGATAGTAGCCATATATAAAGTCACAGTAATTAAAATGACATAAAACAAGCGACTCGCACAACATTTTACGTAAATTAAAGTTTAAAATATGACGACTCGAAAAAATTACCTTTAAACTAGAATATGCCTTCTGCATAAGTTTTTTTACATGCCCCTTAAATCTAAGATCAGAGTAAAAAATTATCCCAAGGCTCTTCGCCTCATCTACTATAGGCAAGATGACGCCATTCAAATTGATACTTAAACTAGATTTCACAATATTAATTTTATTTTTACTATCAAACAACATTAACTTCGATTTATTAGGATTTAGCATCAAGTTATGCTCTGTTGACAATTGTAAGATATTATTAAGTACAGAATTCATAAGGTCACCAGTCCTTGCTATATCTTCAACTAAAAAGTGTGAATAAAAAACGGTGTCATAGGCCTGCACTTTACAATCAGAAACAGAATTTAAAATATCAGCAGTGTAAATTATAAAAAGCAATGGACCCAAAATTGATCCCTGCGGCACACCTGACTTTATATTTAAGTTTGAGGGAAAACAATTATTTACAACAACTTTTTGAGATCGATCGCTTAAATAAGTTGAGATAAGCTCTACAGCAGAGTGATCAAAACCATAGTATTTCATTTTGGCACAAATTAATCCATGGTTTATAGTGTCAAAGGCCTTTGAAAAATCCAGTAACACCAGAACACTAACCAACCCTTTGTCAAATGCTTCTAAAAGATCATTAGTAACAACAGTTAATGCTGTTGTTGTACTATAGCCCTTTCTAAAGCCATTTTGTGAGTCAGGCAGCATTTAATTTAGGATAAAATAATAAAATTTCTTTTCTGTTTTAATCTGAAAACGTCAAAGGAGAATTATTTTTAGGTATAGGCTTACCAATAGCAACTTTCCATGAATATGGGAAATATTTTGCTCCAATACAACAATTTATAATGTGTGTTATGTATTGATCAATAAAAGGACTACAATATTTAAGAATTGTACAAGATATACCATCTGTTCCAGTACTCTCAGTTTTTATTCTATTCAAAATACTATTCACCTCATTAATAGATGTAAGAGAAGAATTAAACAAACAATTAGGATTTTTTAAATTGTCATTATAAAATTCTATTAGATTGTCACAATTATTATTAACATTTTCAAGAAACGAAGCAAAATAACTATTGATTTCGTCAGGATCGTTTAAATCATCTGAATATGAAACTGTTTATTAGATCGAACATATAACTGTTTAAGTGCATTCCATGTGGCTTTAGAACTATTTTTCCGAGAGGCTGATTGTAAATAACCTTTTTTTTTTCACTTCTAACCATGGACAAACTATAATTACGAAGTTGTTTGAACTGAAAACAACTGGTCTAATTATAGACCAGTTGTTTTCAGTACGATTTTGTTTAAATTTTTGTAACGCTTTATCCCTTTCCTTCATTATTAATTTTAAATTAGGAGTGAGCCATGGTGCCGGAGGTTTAGTCACTCTTATCTGCTTAACAGGTGCATGTTTGTCAAACACATAATTCAATAAATCGGTAAATATATTAATTTTAGAATCAATGTTATTTTCATAAACAATATTTAACCAAGGTAAATTATATAATTAATAATAATTAATTTGTCTTTTGAAGGGAAAGAGGTCCCGAGAAACTTTTTTAATGAAAGTTGTCGATAGAAAAGAGGACTTTCGTATGATGTAACGATATTGACAAAATTAATATCCATGACGTCATAGGGTGGTAAACTTACGAATATGTTTAGGTTAAATACTTCTTAATCATTTCACAAAGATACTCGCTTGCGGTTTCTCGTTTGCTCTTTCCGTTTCCCTGTAATGGTCAACCAGCAATTCAAGTTCACTCTGTACACGGAATACTTACACCTTGTGTTTTCTTTCAAATTTCAGCACAAATTAAAGCAGCTATATCTTCAAAATCTCCGCGTTTCCGGTTATATCCCTTTATTTGTGTTCTAGTAGTGATGAAGTTTTATCCGGAATACGGATCGTGATTGAAAACAATTAGGAAATTACGTGACCGCCCAGATTATAGTGTAATGTCACAAACAACTTTATTATTATAATCGAAAATAAATCGCAAGAATCAAAGCTCACCATGACTGGTACTTTTGATGTTTGTTTACAAGTTGGATAACAAAACTGTCTGTAATAATGATAATTTAAATTTGTTGTACATATTGAGAGAATAATTTACAATTTGTTCATATTTGTATTAGATATGAAGGCAAGTGAACAGTGCTTTTAGTAAATCTTGTGTTGTGATTTCTCCGTATCTCCATCTGTTTATAGTGCTAACACCTTCATTGTCGTCAATTAAAGGATACTGAAATACCTAGAAAATCGTTAAAGGATTTATTAGTGTACGGATTTGTACCAAGATTCGTTTTTCTGCCACGAGAAATTTCAGGTATATAAATGTGAAATGCTTTTATTTATACATATAGACCAAGGAAATTAAATTTTTACTCGAAAAAAGTCCTATAAAATTGTCTAAAGGAACATAATACAAGACATCTCTCATCTTGTGAGTCAAAAACTTTTATTAGCTAACTTTTCTATTTAAACAAATAAGTGAGGAAAACAGTTTTTTCACTTTGCAGGGAAAACCATCAATTTTAGCGAAAAGTGACTTGCAGACAGCTTATAGGGAGTAAAATTATCTACAAAATGAGACTTGTTAAATTAAAATCGGTTAATAAACAAAAAAGTTATTGCAAAAAAAAAGAAAAGTGCCCATTTTTTCATTTGTTTATAACTATCGCATTTATTGTTAAAATTTTATAAAACCTATGACAAGTTGAGGGTTTTG